CCTATGGGTAAAAGAGAAACTCGGATGAGTTCCACCACGGAATCGAGCGGCGCTATATCGAGTCTGATTCGCTACCTTTTTGTCACTGAGGCCCGTTGGTACAGTTGGTATGACGTTTGCCTGATAACGTAACTGCCTGGGTTTCAGTTCTCGGCAGTGGATGCGCACTGCTGATGAGTACCAAATATAGGACGAAACGGCCGTCCAGTGCTTTCTGCTAGACTCGATGAATTACTTAATTGTGTATATATATATATATAGCAATGAGAAAAATCCTCCGCAGAAAGCACTGGATAGCAGTTTCGTCCTATCTATCCACTACCGAAAATCGAACCCGGACCGTTTCGATACAACGCAAACGTCATACCAACTGTACCACGCGACTCGGCGCACTGCTGATGGGTCCCAGAGAGGACGAAACGGGCGTCCAGTGCTTTCTGCATTCTGTGGAGGATTCTTCTAAACTCATTGCTATAAGCCTAAATCCCCAAAATTAATTATATATATATATATATATATATATATATATATATATATATATATATATATATATATATATATATATATATATATATATATATATATGGATTTCCGTATTTGGCAACCTTTAGATAAGAAAGAAGAGGTAAAAAGATATAGAAAATTTTCATTAATTTATCTTATACCTGTAGTATAAGACGTTTTCTTATTGATTAGATGAAGATAATTTTATTTAAAATATTGTTACATACGGTATTCTTAGAAATTCAAAATGAATGAAATAACAAAACCGATTGTACATAATGATTTTCCTACACATGTCACCTAAAAGGGAAAACCATTCTTTTGTTTACGTTTCATCATGTGATCTCTTGCGAATAGTGATTCTTCTTCATCTTCTTCTTCTTTTCCTATATCTAAACAATTTCAAACAGCTTGGTGCTCTAATAGCCATTTACTTATACTTCATTGAAAATCACAAATAAAATTTCTATGTAATCCTAAATTTAACACTAAAATGATAAGTTAACTTAACTTAATGAGAAATGAATATTATGTTATCCTAAATGTTATTACTCTCATAATTAACACTAATATGATGAATATTGAAAGAAGATCGAAAGATAAAGATTGCTGAGAATGTATTGATAACTCGATAATTTTGAGCTGAAGTTGCATAGATACAAGTTGATTTCATTAATATGAAATTATTCTTCGAATAGGCAATTTATTATGAATTTATGATAGTAATATATAAGGTAGAAATTTAATTACTTTTAATATTATTTTATTTGATAATGTGAATCTTTTTATGCAATTTATTTGTTATCGCACAGAAGCTGAGCTTAGTTTACCGACAAACATGACTCAGGTTTTAAGGTTTCTTTTTTAGAATTCTAGCATAAGACGACCCTCGATTTTAAGTGTAATTTTTGGTACTTAATGGTCGTCTTATACGCGGAAATATACATATGTATTTTCAATGTTATATATATATATATATATATATATATATATATATATATATATATATATATATATATATATATATATATATATATATATATAAATATATATATATATATATATATATATATATATATATATATATAAAATATATATAATATATATATATATATATATATATATATATATATATATATATATATACAGGCTCCTGAAATATATTCCTGACGATCCGTTTAGGTGAAACCTAGGTAGGTTTGTCTGGCTCACTAGGTGTATCTAGGTCTGCTCTACGGTTGTATTGAGCTCTTTTATTAGTTAGTTAGTTGTTACTCGTATCGGGGTTTTTTCTTTGGGCTTCAGACCTGCATCTGTGCATTTTTTTTGTCGGCAGAAGTCCATGTTTGTAGCTCTTTCTTTTTAAAACCTTTTTTTCCTCGAGATTGATTTGATTAGCAAATCAAAATTCGAGGGTTTTCAAACGAGTCTAGTTATCTATTTTTATATATATATATATATATATATATATATATATATATATATATATATACAGGTATATATATATATATATATATATATATATATATATATATATATATGAAAAATTTATTACAGTTGAGGAAGTGTGTGTTTGTAAACAGTGATTATTACAGCTATTATAGCAAGACTCTTCTTCAGTAAAAGCGAATCGAGTTCTCTCATTCACTGTGTATTTATCTAAAAAAATAAATACCTTCGTCCTTGCTGTGCCCTGATGGCTTAGTTGTGGTATATCCGACTGACGTCAATTCAGCCGGGTTTCGATCCTAAATAGAGATAATCGGACGTCCAGCCACACTGAAGAGCTGTGATACAGCGAAACAGTCTGTCTGTGGATGACATTGAATATATATATATATATATATATATATATATATATATATACATATATATATATATATATATATATGTGTGTGTGTGTGTGTGTGTTTCTTTCCAATCTGACCTTTCCTGAAAGAATTACTATTATCCTAAATCAAAATACACAGCCACAAAAATGTTACAAAATCAAATCCATTATCTCATATTTTTTAAAGATGTACAGCACACACGTCCATCACAAACCATAAGAATCTGATCGCAATTTCAAACAGTATTTATTTGTTAAAAAAAAAATCTGGAATATTATTTTTGCCTTAGCAGACTTTAAATTATGACACTTTGTGTCCTCCATATATTTGACTGGCCTTTCAACCACCTGATGAATATTCATGAACGTTTTGAAATTTTAAAGCCTTGATAAAACATTGACGTGCAACAAAATAAATCCTTATATTTGCCTCGATAAAGTCCTTCAGAGAGCGAAGCGCATCGACTAAGAAAGTTTTTCCTCTTGTCTTTTCATTCAAACACACACACACACACACACACACACACACACACACACACACACACATATATATATATATATTTATTAAAGACATTTTTTATGTTTAACGTTGTTATTTATAGATGCATAATATTTTTATCAAAACAGAGCATTTGTTTAAATATTTTTATCTAAAAATAAATGTTAAATAAAAAATGTCTTTAAATAAATAAATTGTCCATTTCTTACCTTATATATATTTATATATATATATATATATATATATATATATATATATATATATATATATATAAAATAAAAAGAAGGAACACATTTATAATCCAGAGTTCTTTAGAATCTATTTTTGAAAACAGTACTCGATACACACGGGAGCATAATATTATAATTGTTATTTAAAATATGTATTCATCGCGACACAGAAATTACTATGTTTCGAAATTAAGACCTAAATTTTAAATTTAACTTAAAATTCAAAGTTTTCGTATCATTTTCAAGTAACATCGAAACGAAAATTTTAAATTTTAAGTTAAATTTAAGATTTAGGTTTTGATTTCGAAACATGGTAATTTCTGTGTCGAGATGAATACATATTTTAAATAATAATTGTAATATATACATATATATATATTTTATATATGTGTGTGTGAGCCTCTTTGCGTGTGTATAATATATATATGTGTGTGTGTGTATGCGTGTGTGTGTAATATATATATGTGTGTGTATGTGCGTCTGTGTGTGTATAATATATATGTGTGTGTATGTATGTGTGTATAATATATTTATATATAT